TTAATGCTGCCATGCAATCATCTGACCCATAGGTGGCATCCATCTCAAGCCAGAGGACGAGCGGACTCTAGCCGCCACGCATATAAAGGATTTATAGTGAAAAACTTTGTTTTTACGGGTTATACTTGTTTGTATCTATCATCTGGTAGCACCCCATCACGCGGTGGATCGTGAAGCACGTCCTGGATCCCCCGGAGAAGAACTACGAGAAGGACATGCATCTCATCGCCAAGGAGATGGAGAAGTCCCACCATTAGTGAGTGCTTTGCGCGCCAAGCGGCAGAGTCGAGCTTTACTCTCTCGGCTGCCGCTCATTGCGGTTATACCACGGTCGGGTTTGTTGATCGATGTGTTTTTCTTTGGCATCGTATTTCTGCGTGTGAGTGTGGTGGCTTTTTAATGGAGCCGATCAACTACTCGCAGTTCTGCCCGAGAAATATTTAGTACAGCCGTCTATCCGGGCAAAAGCTTAAAAGCCCTTAAACCGATTTTTATGAAACTTGGCACACAACTCGCCAATACTTATGCCTAGGTGTGTATAGTTTTTGCTCAAAATTGGTCATGAAATAGTAAAAAACACATGTATATCTTATACGTGCAACAATGCATTGAAACATCTATTTAATTGGTTCTCATGTTAAACCTATTTATCAAACCGCGTGTGTGAGAATTGATTGTGATTTCTGTATTCAATGACACTGAAGAGTTATATATTGGATCGTACAAGAAGGGAATGCCGAATCCAGTCCCCATCAAGGATGTAGCCAAGAGATAAAGAAGATGCAGTGGTTCAACGTCAGATTCACTTCACGATGGTTAAGTTGAAAATGTGGAAGTGCATTTTCTACGTGCAATGCATTCCCCTGGCGCCGACTTGCTAGAGTGACTTTAATCCAGCTGTGATGAGCCTGAAAGAAGATCGCAGGTAAACGGAGTGTGTGGCACAGGCTGAAAAATTAGATCAAAGAAAAGTTACCAGAATAAATGTATGAGGGCTTCAGTGAAGATTATTAAGCAAAGTGTTTTTGAAGACGGAAGTTCAAAATTAAAAGAATCAGTTGGTGGGACGATGGAAATAGTTGCACCGCATTCCCAGCAATATTCGTGCACACGCGTTACAACGCAAGTTCGACGGCGTTCGCTCTCACGCTTCTCGTATGAATTTGTATTTTCCCGCACCTCCGATTAGCACGGTTGGCTGCATACGGTGCGAAAGAAGTTCAACATACATGCGTAGTATTACGCGCATTCGCGTGCGTTTCAAATCGTTTGCGCGTCTCTTGACAGCTTCGTTTTATAAACATTCCCGATGTGTCCGTCGCAGTGCCATCGAAGCCAAAGCTCGTCGCTTGATGCGGGACCGCGGAGACGGGCCCTGGTCCATCATGCCGGTCCAGGACCCCACGGTCATCGTCCGTCATCACAAGGCCACCCCGGACGACTGAGCGACGTCCACCCCATACCGATCTGGCATCGTCCTCTCGCGAATGCCGTAGCCGTGGGGCTCCCTCTTGTGCAACCCGCCGGACCCCCGTGCCGTGTCGGTGAAGACTCGGCACGTGGCAGGCGCTGTCGTGGTTAAAGAGCTGCGTTTCCATTTTCACCGTAGTGTGTCTGCGCGCACGTTGTGTGCTCTGAAAAAAATAAATAACACATTTTAACCCGAAGAAAATATGACTCCCGCGTTTGGTGCTTTAATGCCGTGCTTCGTTTCGGTGGTGGTGTTTCTGTGGGAGGTTAGGGGTGGGGGGTGGGGGGGGGGGGCACGTGCTCCCCGAATGAAAAGCAAGTCGCGTTTTCAAATCGGGGGTAAAACTCGGTCCGTCGGACCTCCTGGGGTCAATAAAATGAGAATCACGTTGCCGGAAAGTCGACTAACCAATCGCTAGACTGGCATCTTCGCATGGTAATGCGAAATTTATACTGGTAGGAACCTCCTGGTTACACCAGCCCACGGGATTATTGTGTCCGTCCGTCGTGCAGGGAGGGACTGGGTGGGGAGGGTGAGGAGGACTGGGTGGGGAGGGTGGGGCTGGGTGGGGAGGGTGGGGCTGGGTGGGGAGGGTGGGGCTGGGTGGGTGAGGGCCTGGTCACCCCGTGGTGCCCTTATAAAACTCAACGTTTAACCTACTCACGCCGGCTTGTGCCCACCCTCTCACAGTCGGGCATATTTGCGGAATACACCACGCCGCCGTTGACCCTGGCCATTGACCGAGCAACCCAACGTTCCTACCAGCTCCCACGGGCAGGAATGTGTTGTCTCTGTCCCAGGGCCATCAAAGGTGACAGCTGACCTTTGTTGACATTTCAAAATAAAAGTCTTCCTTACGCGTTTACACTGCCCCGTACCGGCTCTTCTGCGTTTACAAAATAACTGGGTAGTTTGGGTTGATTAATTATGCCACTAAAAAATTGTAATAAACTACTTGTGGTCGATTCTAGATTTGAAGCTTTCGTGACTGCAAGGATTCAAACTCTTAGGCTTTTTCGGTAAAGTCACGTGGGTAAAAAATAAAATTAATAGTAACCTGAAGACGGAAGCTTGTGTTGCCTCTGAAACGTGATATATTATTTTATTTCTATTATAACTTCTATTAATTTTATTTTTTACCTACGTGACTTTACCGAAAAAGCCTAAGAGTATGAATACTTGTGGTCGATTACTTGAGACCATTTATGAATCTTGACTTAAAGCTTTTGTGACTGCAGGAATTCATATTCTTTGAGTCTTTCGGTAAAGTCACGTCGGATCAAAGAAAATAAAAAATAAAAACTACGACGTTTCGATCGCAACACAAGTGTTCGTCATCAGGAAAAAAACTAACAACATCAGAGTGCAGCGCCACATTAAATACGCACGACAATGACATTAGTTTAAAGCGATTTGAAGCATGTTTTTTTTGGGGGGGGGGGGCAGAGCTTTGTGACGTCATATTTGAGGAGGGGTCTGACTTTTTGTGACGCCGTGTGACGAAGGTGGGGGGGGGGTAAAAAATCATCCAAAATCTCGTGACGTCATTTATGGGCGGCCCCTTATTCTTCCAGTAGTAAATAAACATTCTGAGTCTAAAACTCTGGAGCGGCCTCGACACGGTGCCTCATCGGTAGAGTCAGGTTTTCCCGAAGCGATGTCAGTGAACTACCAAAACGTACATTTCTATATAATGTTTAACAATGTACTATATATACTGTTCAGCTATCGTGTTTACACTGTAGCTCAATGTCGTGATTACACGCTCTAGCCGCTAACACATTCCTGCGGAGGGAGCTGGTAGGAACGTTGGGGTTGCTTTGTCAATGGCCAGGGTCAACGGCGGCGTGGTGTATTCCGCAAATATGGCCGACTGAGGACAGGCTCAAGCCGGCGTGAGTAGGTTAAACGTTGAGTTTTATAAGGGCACCACGGGGTGACCAGCCCCTCCCCACCCAGCCCCACCCCACCCAGCCCCACCCCTCCCACCCTCCCCACCCAGCCCCTTCCCACCCTCCCCTCCCCACCCAGCCCCTCCCCACCCTCTCCACCCAGCCCCTCCCCACCCTCCCCTTTCTTGGCAGCCCCACCCCTCCCATTTTTGGATGCACGACGGACGGACGGACGGACACAATAATCCCCTGTGGGCTGGTGGAACCACGTGGTTCCTACCAGTAATATATTCACCGTAATTTATACAGGTCAATGTTTCTGTTTTTTATTTATCGATACCCTTTGCTGCCACCAGAGGTCGGACCACAACTTGTATTATTCTGAATAAGCGGATTGGAAAATGAGAACCGGTTGTACGGTATCTTTTTTTGTTGTTAAACGAGGCATATACAATCTTCATTTTCCGAATCACATTCACTCGAATACATTTGACCTGTGAGTTGTTATATTGTTATGTTGATTCACTCTTCAACACACCGATGTGCTAAAGTAGTTCACTATTTGTCTTTTCATATTCTTGGTTCTTTCGGTAAAGTCACGTAGAAGGGAAATAAGAAAATAAGAAAAAAAGAAAAATAATATATATTTTTTTCCTTTCTACGTCACTTTACCGAACGAACCAAGAATATGAATCCCTGCAGTCACGAAAGCTTTAAATCAATATTTGTCTTTTATAAACGTGACACTTTTTTACTGTTTGGCCGTGTCGGGTGGTGGAGGGTTACGACACATTTATAAATAACGCGATCTCGCCCAAAAATAACCTTTATTATGAATAATATTGGTCGCGAAAGCCTGCTACGTGTTAAACTGATTGTTATTCTCCCCGAATTAAATGCCAACTGTGCTCTCACGGCATCTTGTTGCAACACACATTTCCTTTCACGATTCTTTGCAGCCAACAGTGCACCACCTTGTCAGACACGGCCCTTGAAGATGGCATCATGGAACGACTCCTGAAGTTTTACTACCGTAGCACCTGATCCACACTTAGAGCACATCTTATACACCCAACAATCATTTGAATTAATTGAATATCACACATTTGACTTGGCGGGTTAGCTTTATCACAACTGCGTACAAAAAAACCCCATAACATGAAATGTGGTTCTGCACTTAATTTGTCAACATTCCTGCTCTTAAAACGCAAAATATCGTGGGTTGACCATCATATTATCCTTCCCCCGCACGCTCAGATTGACTACGTACGGTGCGAAAGAAGTTCAACGACTCTCACATGGCAGAGCGGGGTGCGTCATTGCTGCCCTGTACCGAGCATGAAGTGTGTACCCAGATGTCCCTTAAAGAAGAGATCTCATTCACAGCGAGCTCGCTCCGTCACACTTTAGTTCCATCGCGTGAACCACATCCAGTATTCTAGAAACAGGGGTGGCTCACCGGGGTCTTCACGGCCAGGACCCCTCCGTATATGGGTCGGGGCGGGATTACACCCTAACCCTTGGGTGTAGCAGCTGGGACGTGGTTGGTCTATGGCTGCTGGATGCAAGGGAGGGAGTGAGGCTGTGTGTGAGTGAGACTGTGCCCGTGGCAAGGGCTCGGTTGGTAACCTCCATCCTCTCCTTACCACCCCCCTCTCTCCTCTCTCTTCTCTCTCTCTCCCACTCACTTGAGTCGCGGCTCCAGCCTGGGTGGTGCTCAGATTTCTCGGCTGAGACCCACCACTTAACATCCCAAGATCTAACTTAGAAAGCTTCGCCTGGAGTCGCTCGAACTTTTATTTCTTTGCGTTTGTTCGGGTCCGTTTAATGAGGTCGTCCCGTCGTTATCGTACGAGGTTTTTCTTATTTATTTAAATAGCGTCGTCGCTAAAAAAAAAGATAATCATCGACGCCCGCCGTCGCCGTGAAGTCGACAAGAAGCTTTACCGGCAACTTCCAAGGGGCATTTTGGCAGTGGTGTTCTCAGGTTCTCAGCCGTCCGTGATTTCTAGAAGCAAGAGAGGAGGAGGAAGAAGAGGGATTTTTTTAAGTTGGGGGGAAAAAACGACAGAAACCCAAAGAAGACGAAGACCAAAAGGGGCCCCCTCCCCCATCGTAAAGCGACTTCGACACCAGACGTTCTGCACATGTAGCCATCATCGTTGTGAAAGGCCCTGTTAGATTACGTGCCAGCCAAGGTGTGCAGGGTTACACGTGGCAGCCAAGGTGTGTGGGAGCCAGGTGTGGAGGGTTACACGTGGCAGCCAAGGTGTGTGGGAGCCAGGTGTGGAGGGTTACACGTGGCAGCCAAGGTGTGTGGGAGCCAGGTGTGTAAAGGGGACACCGGGAGACGGGAGTTGTAGGAGGAACCTCAGCGCGATAAGGGTGGCACTGGGCACCCTGATCCAGGGGTGGAGGTTTCGGAATCCAGGTGAGGGGCAGCGATGACGGACGTGTGGGAGTTGCTGCTGCCCTATCTGCCCACCGTGCGCATCCCCACATCGGGGACTCGAATCTACAAGGATGAATGCGCCTTCTCTTTCGACAGCCCGGTGAGCACGCACTGTGTGTAGGTGTGTGTGTTAGAGAGTGTCTCTCTCTCTCACAGACACACACACACAGTGCACTGTGTGTGTGTGTGTGTGTCTCTACTCTCACAGACACACACACACACGCACTGTGGGTGTGTGTGTGTTAGAGAGTGTCTCTCTCACAGACACACACACACACAGTGCACTGTGTGTGTGTGTGTCTCTACTCTCACAGACACACACACACACGCACTGTGTGTGTGTGTTAGAGAGTGTCTCTCTCACAGACACACACACACACAGTGCACTGTGTGTGTGTGTGTCTCTCTACTCTCACAGACACACACGTGTACTGTGCGTGTGTGTCTCTACTCTCACAGACACACACACACACGCACTGTGTGTGTGTGTTAGAGAGTGTCTCTCTCACAGACACACACACACGCACTGTGTGTGTCTCTACTCACACACTCTCACACACGTACTGTGTGTGTGTGTCTGTGAGAGTAGAGACACACACGCACTGTGTGTGTGTGTGTGTTAGAGAGTGTCTCTCTCACAGACACACACACACGCACTGTGTGTGTCTCTACTCACACACTCTCACACACGCACTGTGTGTGTGTGTGTGTCTGTGAGAGTAGAGACACACACGCACTGTGTGTGTGTGTGTGTTAGAGAGTGTCTCTCTCACAGACACACATACGCACTGTGTGTGTGTGCTCCAGAGTGTCTCTACTCTGACAGACACACACACGCACTGTGAGATCTACTCTCTCTCACAGACACACACGTGTACTGTGCGTGTGTCTGTGTGTCTGAGAGTGTATCTTGCCCGCGTGTGGGGAGCGATAGTGTAAGTGTCTAGCGCACCTCGCTACAAACCCGGCGGACCGGAGCTCTGTGAATACATCTGAACCGGTCCCGGGCCTTCCCCCTAGATCGACTCGGCCTTAAACGAGCACACCTTGGTTCGGGAGTGGTGCTTGTTGGTTTGAATGGGTAGCACGCTAAACGCACGTGTTGCAACAGTGAATGGGTGAGTGAGTGTTTAATTAAAGGAAATAGCCCTTTCCTCTGAGCGCGTGCATCGTGTCTATGCCATGAAGAAGGGCTCATTGCTCAAATTGTAACCTAATGCGTATTTGGACGTTTAAGGCCACCCAGTGTGCGCGTCCAAGTGAACGATTGTGCAAGTGAAGGATCGTCAGTGAACGAGTGAAGGGTAGACGTGAATTAAATCTACCTAAGTGGGATAGGCGGTGAGTAAGTGAACGCGTTACAAGCGTCTGCACCTTGAAGTGCACGCAAGCTTCGATTTAAAGCTTTCGTGACTGCAGGGATTCACCTTCTTGGTTCTTTCGGTAAAGTAACGTAGAAGGGAAGTAATAAAATAATAGAAATAAAACATGATCAAATAATTCTCACGACGTTTCGGCCGCAACGCAAGCAGCCGTCATCCTCAGGTGAAGAGCAGGGCTGTCATTCGGACGCTGTCTTTCCGACAGACCTGTTCTTCACCTGAGGACGGCTGCTTGCGTTGTGGCCGAAACGTCGTGAGAATTTCATTTTATTCAGTTTTATTTTTATTATTTTATTATTTTCCTTCTACGTGACTTTACCGAAAGAACCAAGAATATGCACGCAAGATCTCAAGTGAATGCGCGCTCATGAGTTGGCGTACGCGAAAGTGAACGCGTCTGTGGCTATGTTAATTCGAGCGGAGACTGGGTGCGTTGTCGGTGATTGTGTCGTAAGCAACGGGGAGTTTCGGCAAAACATGTTACACAGATGAACGAGCGTGAGTGAATGAATGTTTAAGTGAACGTGGGTCGGTGAAAATAATTGCAAGCGTGTACGATTAAGCGAATACGTGTTTGTGTGTGAATAAGTATATCACGTTGTATTAAGTGAATGGTATGTATGAAGTGCAACGTGTTTAAGTGAATGCGTGCAAGTGAATGCGTTAACGTGAGCATACATTAGCTTGTAAGTGAATGAGCGGGTGTGGATTTAAGCACATGTGCCGAAAGTTAATGTATGTTTAATTGGTGTATTATGTTTGGTGTACTAGTATTGTGTGTTGAATGATTGGGTGGGCTTGTGAATGTAAGCAAATGGATATTTGTTTAAGTAAATGTGTAATATTTGAATGAGTGTGTGTGTGTACGTGAATAAATGTGCATGCATATTCCGTACAGCGTGACACTTACACTTGCATGTAATGTGTGTCCATGATACGCGACTAGACTGACGATTGGTAGACGAGACTTAAAGTGTCCGCACGTTATAAGTTGCAACATATGACCTCTCCGTTGATCGAATTCTGGGAAATAATAATTTGTGTTTGTGGTTGGACACGACGTTTGCTTCGTGTGTGTGTGCCATTGAAAAGTAAACTCGGAGAAATGCAGGGGAACACAGGGTGAAACAGTTACATTATAAACTCAATGAACACAATTCTCAACGTAACATGTTTTTGATGCTGCTACATTGAAAACATGTCAATGCGCTGTGCCACTTTCTTGTTCCAAGTGTCACGAGAAATCCCACCTCTCCCCAAAATGTACTTTGTAATCTTCTCAGCGTAGTAGGCAAATGTGGGTTAGAGCAAAGCAAGGCCTAAGTTGAGACTGAAAATCCCAAGGCCTTGCCTTGCCACTGGTATGAAGGCACACGTGGCGTGTGGCTATTTTGGTATTGAGAGGGCCCAACTTAAATTTAGCCCCTGCTGATGTGAGTTGCCTGTGAGTGCCGGGTGAGATAGAAAGCTAAGAAGAGGGAGGGAGGAAATTTAGGTCTCTCGTGTACGAAGGGGATGTATGGGGAGGGGGCGATGAGGATGGATTGGTTGGAATGTCAAATATTTTCGATATCTCACTCGACGCCCGATTCTTTTTACAAAGATGTCCCCTCAAACTCTTGAGTCTGTGGCCTGGTCACGGAGCTTTGTGTGGACCCACCGACAGGCGGGCTATGGTGCCAAGAATGCCCACTCAAATGTGGTTACACTTGGAATGCGGGCAAACTTCCATCTGTTCACAAATCAATGACTGGAAAATGCAGCCACAGCTCAACGTCGCTTATCCGACAGCCACAAATCCACCCAGACCAATTACCAGCTTTGGCCAGGAGTCAAACTCAGGTAGAGGAGTTAAGAAGTTTTTTTTACGAGTAAAGCCCATGGAGCTAAGAAGCTGTTATTAAAATTGCGACTCAGCCGGCAGGCAACACCAAAGCATTCTAACAATTACAGTAGTAAAAATAAACTAACTTAATAATACAAATTATGTCGTAAAGCTACATTCACGCTTAAACTTAAGTGATTTTAATAATCAGTTTAAATGAGGTGGCAGAATGGAGATGCCAAGAGACGGAACTAGGTGGTTCCAAAACTTTGGCTACGTACGGCACGAAAGATGTTCAACATACATAGGTCCCTTCCGGCACATGTTCTTCTCCCTATAGGAACCAACATTTGGGATTGACCCTACAGCCATAATCGAAACAAATCTCACCTGGTAGGAAACACACATTTATTGTGTGAGTGGGTACGAATATTCGGGGAAAACCGATGTTCGTTTCCACCGGGTTCCTCGCAAACCACTGCACTTGCCATATACGGGGTCAAGTACGTGGATGTTAAAATTCGCAGGGCCAAAGATTCAATGTCGATGGATAATTCAATGCACAAACATGGTTTGTTTGCCGTGCTCAAACAAAAATTGTCACCCACATGAGGTGTTGGCTCTCAAGTGCAGCTTGCAAAAAATTAACCCGTAAAAACAAAGTTTTTCACTATAAATCCTTTATATGCGTGGCATCGGTTTTATTTTATCATTCATTTCTGTTTTTCTTGAGTAAGAGTTTCATTTTCATCACATTGGTATTTTAAATTAAATATGAAATTATTTTTTCCTAAAAAGTTAAAATTTTGGAAAAAAATTTTCACGAAAATTAAGTGGGTTAAAAAACGACCGAAAGATTTGCACGGTCGTAAGCGCGCAAGCAAGCAGGTGAACTTAATATAAAGGATTTAAAAATAAATCGGCGGATCGTTTGTGGGATTTTAGTTCTCTGTACTTCAAATACACCGCAGTTGTGGAGTTATGCAATGTGAACGTACTGCATTTTTGACGGACTGTATACAACTGTAATGTGATATCGTGGAGCATGGAACATGATCCGTTAAATCATATACAAAAAAATAACTCCGTTCTGTGTGTCCACAAATACATACCACGTTGGTTTTTTTTCTATAATACTGTTTATTGCCTTTCTAGGCCAATATTAACCAGCAGCTTTTTGGGCAAAGGCTCTTCTTTGTAGTACACCAATTTGGCGTCTCGCTTTACCTGCATTCAAGAAGGGTTATTGCCCAAAACGTTACTTATATACAGTATATAATTGTATTTTAAGTGTTATTATTGATGTTGAGTTTGTTTGTTACTTGTGCTCCACTAGAAATGCAGTAAACAGCGTCACCAAATACTTTGTTTAACCAGCAGCATTTGTTTAGCAAAGACAAAATGAAGGAAACTCCAAACAGGTCCAAATCTTGCTTAAACTAATTCTGCTGAATAATATTGGTCTATAAAATCAGGAAGTCGTTAGACTACATCGTATGTTTTTGTTTATATGGAGTCGCATAACGGAGCTTACTTATTTTTGGTGTTTGTGGTATTTAATGGCCAGCAGGTTCACTTAACGGTGGCTGGAAGTGGCATCGTTGAGGAGGGAGTTAAATTCAGACACTTGAATGCTGAATTGGTTGGGTAGGTCAGAGGTCAGTGAGTTGTTCCTGCACCGCGAAGTTTCTGGGTTCAAATCCAAGTTTCAGCTGCCTGTGATTAAACCAAGTGCTCAAGTGTAGTGAGTTTATGGTCTCTGCGCAGTCACCACTGACTGCTAAAAAAAACCCCACTTCATTAAATTTAGTTTGGAACTAAGTTTAGCTGCATTCCAGTTCGAAGAATAAAAAGAAAATATTTTTTTTCTTCCATGCGACTGACATTTATCTTGGAAGCAGTGTGGACGGGAAATTGCTGCCCCCCCCCTCCCTTGTGGACCAGGTAACACCACTTCCCTGAGCCCTTTATGAATGCGAAGACTTCCACCACACTACGAGAGATCCAAATGGGGCATCATCGTCTTATGACATCGCACACCGATGGAAGTTTCAACACTTAGGGGGCTTTCACGACCAATATCATCCATAATAGAGATTTTTTTGGTTAGATCGCGTAAATATAAATGTGTCGTAAAACCCGCCACCACACGTAATCCAATTAGTAATTCGTTACTAGTACAGCACACCGGTGTGTTGGAGAGTAAACCCACAACAATTACCATTCAGGCGACAGCCAGAGTTCATGGAGAAATCCTCCTGTTTTGGTCTTAAGTAGACGGATACATGCGATGTTGTCACTTGTTAGCCAATCAAGTACGAGGAGAAGAGGGGGCTGGGTGAATTTTAATGTATTAGGTTAATGTTGATTCCGATTACACCGATGGCATAATCGGAATAAAAATTTGCGGACAAAAAATTTAGTAACAGAATTAATAAAAACACTTGAATGCCACTCGCTCCCCACATTCCTAACGTCGCATAGTTGCCTGCAACGGCTAAAATCCGTTCAGTCTATATCATGAAGTCATTTTCGCACTTTTCCACAGTGCATGGCATGAAGACAGCTTGGCAGGACCCATTGGTAGTTTTTATAGAGATAATCCAAGGTCAAGAGATCATCAAGGACAAAGCCAACGGTGCCACCACAACCAGCCATCACGTCCTTCTGCTAAAGCCTGTAATTGTTGTGCGAGGCCCATACCCGGGCCTTCAAGCGTTGCTCTAATAATCTCTAATCATCTGGCTCGAGGTCCCTCCCCCACCCCATTGCCACTGTAATGCCCATCTTAGTCACCTGCCCTCTTCCATCCTGCGCGCGTCCCACCCATCACAACCTCCTCCTGCTCCTCCTCTTCCTGATTACATCCCACAACACGTGCTCGCCGTTCAACAAACACACATGCGTAGTCGAATTACGAAGCGTCCAATTCGATAACACTTATGGAGATAATTTATCGCGACTAAAATAGCTCCGCTCTGACTTTTTCATGCGGGTTCCCTTCAAATCAGTCAATAACATCTGTGCCAGCGACAGCGAGGATTCTGGAAACAAGCGTGGAAGTCTTCGGCTGGAATATCTCTCAGTGGGCGAATAACAGTCACTGCCATGCAGAACCGGCCCTAGACCTTTGGGGGCCCTAAGCAAAATTTGGTTGGAGGCCCCTTTGATGTATGATTTTTTTCACCCACTAGCTAGCAGTGACTCTAGGGGGCCCTCTGCTGGCCACGGGGCCCTTTGCAATTGCAAGGGTCGCTTAGTGGCTGGGCCGGCTCTGCTGCCATGTTCGCAGTGGCATCGAAAAGGGAGTCCTTCCCAACGCGAGTTTTACTCATCGTTGTTTAGTTTTGTACGGGCTGTCACGAACGAGCGCTTGATTGCGGTCGGAACAGCCCGGAATGCTTTTCCGGGAAAATTATGCATGGGCAACACCCAGCCACATCTCGCATCTCGCATGTATCGTGTGATCTTGATGCTGCCTTTGATTGTGCGTGGTTCTGAATGCCGCACAAGGTTCCTGATAGTCCGTTCATAGGAGTATTAGGAGCAGAGGGTACAAGAATATAGTGGCACACGTTTTGTAACTCTAGTGGTAAGTGCTTTGTACCCGATAATCTATCTAAAGCCAGCACTAGGCAGCATTTCCTGAAAATATCGACTGAGAAATTAAGTATGTATTACAGAACACGGGCGACTTTGCCCAGTTCCAACACAATAATTAATTCGCTCGGTGCCAGACGCGCACTTCGTGTGTACGCGGCGTAGGGGAGTGGGTATGAGAATGGTCTACGATGGATTGTAACGCTAATCGCACGACTTACGTAGTTTGTCGTAAAGCATTTTGATTTTTTTAAAAATCGAAGTATAAAAAAAAGCTGGGTTTATATTTATGCTTTTGTTTTTTCCGAAACCAAATTTCTCAAAATATCTTCTCGTGTCGCTGTAAATATCGGCCGCCGTGGAGGAGGAGGAGGTGGGGGCGACAAAATCAAATCGCGTGCCTATTCTTGATTATTTGGAAGCAATTGCACCTTTAAATCTAGACTGACAACTACTTTCTGTAGTACTGCTCTTTGTGTTTAGTTTATTGTCCCATTCTCCCCCGCACCTCCGATTAGCGCGGTTGGCTACGTACGGTGCGAAAGAAGTTCAACATAGATTTACACGCTCCATGTTTTCTGCCAATCGTACTAATACAGTGCAAGCTGACGAGGGGTATACGAGCCAATTGCAATTTTGCAAGTGAAGTTATCGTTAAGTACTGACAGCTCGGCCATCGGATTGTGATTGAGACCGGACGAGTAACCAGGGACCTTTCGTGTGAATCGATCAAATTTCAGGTGCTTGGGGCACTAACAGGGAAAAAGTGGAGTGAGGTTTTAAAACATTGGTTCTCACTGGCACGTACCTGACCGTGTTGGTTTTGTCCCTTTCATATTGTTTTTTGTTTGTTACATATTTCAATGTTATTCGGGTTTTAGTTGTTAAGAGTTTTATTCACTTTCATTTAAGGCCTTGTTAAGGCTTGGGGTATTTGCACGTAAAGTGCTGTGAGGAGGCCTCGTGTGAATGCCGCTGCATAAATTCAAGTTCTCGTTCAGATTAATTTTGTCCTTGGTACCTTGCACTTTGTCTGCGCCGTGTGTATATTGAACCTCTTTCGCACCATACGTAGCCAACCATTAGCATTGTGGTCCACGTAAGATTCCGCCGGTATCAGCCCTGAATAAGCACCTTGGGATGTATATGTTGAACTTCTTTCGTACCGTACGTAGCCAAACGTGCTAATCGGAGGTGTGGGGGGAGGACAACAAACTAAACGCAACAATAAGTTCTAGAGAAATGAGTTTTCAATCTAGATTGTTTAAAAGTGTGTAGCTCCAGTGGCATCCCTCATATCGGAAGGCAGAGCGTTTCAGACGGCCTCAGAAGCATAACCGAAAGCGCGCGATGTGATGATCGCCGCCTCTGTTCGAGGGCCAGTAGCCAAAAGCTGCTGCTGCGAGGATGACCGGAGTCCACGCGACGCTTTATACTCCTTGACGAGCTCGGCGAGGTATCTGTGGCAAGCACTTTGTGCGTTTCAATGAGCGCGACCTTACAACGAATTCGTCCGGCAACCGAGCACCAGGACGCACACGGTCGGACCTTGACCGTGTCCATCCAGTGGATAGGCAAGGCCACCCAGGCTGCACGCGTCTGCCGGCTGACCCCGTGAAGGGGTAGAGGTCGCCGTCTAAGACACGGTCGCTGACGTCGAGCGCCGCCGGCACCGGCCTGTGCCCCCCCCCCCCCCCCGCGCAGGAGTCGGAGGGCGGCCTGTACGTGTGCATGAACACCTTCCTGGGCTTCGGGCGAGAGCACGTGGAAAAGCACTACCAGAAGACGGGCCAGTGCGTCTACATGCACCTCAAGCGCACGCGGCGCGAGGTGAGCCGGGGCCACGCGAATTCCGTTTCGTCGGTCCGATGTCGGTCGGTCCGTCCGTCCACGCTCTTCTCGTGTTCTCGTTTTTGTGTCGCCTTTTCTCCTTCATTTGATCACTGTAAGTTTGTATTATTTGAACTTCTTTTGCGCCGTACGTCTCCGACCGTGCTTATCGATTTTTTTCTATTTTACCAGGTAATTCCCACTGGGCTATGTAGCTCTTTTTCAGAAACGACCTGGTCACAAATTATAGCTCAACGAAGTGGCTCATCACATGGACATTTATATAGCAGCCAAAAACTCTAAATGCGTGATGTTGATCCTAAATTTAGAGGGAAAAACCGGGGGACCTGGAGAAAAATTCATGTGACCACGAGGGAGAACATGCAAACTCCAAATATACAGGCGTCAGGTTCGGTGGTGGAACCTACGACGTCCTGTATACCTGGCGAGGTAGTTAACATCTCGCCACCGTGGAACCACCAATTTGTGATGTCGGCACTCCGTGCCCTGAGAACACGTTCAGAACTCTCGCCGAGCGGCGCTCTCTCTCTCTCTCATCGCGATGTGTGTCGAGTGTCACTTTGGTCACCCCTGCAAATTAAGCGAAGCACTCTATGTGTCTTCTTGGTTCTTTCGGTAAAGTCACGTAGAATGGAAATAATAAAATTATAATAAAACATAATAAAATAATTATCACGATGTTTCGGCCACAACGCAAGCAGCCGTCCTCAGGTGGAGAGCAGGTCTGTCGAGTAGACAGAGTCTGAAATTCAGACGGCTGCTTGCGTTGTGGCCGAAACGTCGTGAGAATTATTTTATTATGTTTTATTTTTATTAATTTATTATTTCCATTCTACGTGACTTTACCGAAAGAACCAAGAAGATGAATCCTTGCAGTCACGAAAGCTTTAAATCACTCTATGTATATTGGAATTTGGTGATGCTGCTGCTGCATTGGCAGTGGTACGCAAACACAAATAACAAAACAAACAACCCATTACATTCGTCAATAACACTGTGGCCTTCTAAGGAAAACTATATATTAGGTTCCATGAAGAAGGGCCGTTGCCTCCAATGTCATCTGTGATAGATATATGTTTTCCTTCTAAGGCTACAGTGTTATTGACGAATGTGAGTTTTCTTTATCACCGAATGGGAGGTAACATCACAGAAACACTTCTTGAGATACCTTCAAGTGACCTCTTTAATCAGTTAAAGTCTCTCTACTAATTAAAACCTCTTGTTCCCCCAGCGGTATAGCGTTGTTGGCATGGGCCCCGGTGCAAGGAATGAAATGGGGCACTCTATCCAATGTCTCCCTCTCTCTCCGTTGGGAGCCCAGTGCCTTGCCACCCTGGCTGATGCACCCTGATGCAGTCACGCCACCTGCACACACTCGCCACGGTGGCGAGATGTTACCTCCCTCGCCTGGTATGCAGGAGGTCTTGGGTTCGATCTCGACCCTGGCGCCTGTATGTTTGGGGTTTGCGTGTCTCTCTCCCGGTGTTCGTGTGGATTTTTCTCCCGGATCCTCCGGTTTTTCTGCTCCACAAGTATTTGGCTGCTGTAAATGTCCACGTGATAAGCCACTTCGTTGAGCTATTATTTACGGCTAGGTCGGTTCTGAAAAAGAGCTACATAGCTCAATGGGCCTTACTCAGTAAAATAAAAAAAAGTTTTTAGTTTTAACTAAGCCACTGCTCGTTTCTCACTCTCTGTCTCTGCGTTGGATTTAATTTCTCAGAAGCCGCAGGGAGCGTGTGGTGGAGGAGGGGCAAGCGATGGAGAAGACACCACCCTCCGCCTTCTCTCTGTGACAGGTCAGACCCCTGATAATAATAATAATGATTATTATTCGTATTCCAGTGCTGCTCTATTTGATGACAGTTGTTCAGGAAGGCCAAATCGAGTCTCAAATGTCTCTTCAGCAGGGGGCCTGCAGTGGGATGCTTGGCCATTTATCGTCTTTTTGGCAAGTTGGCCCCTTCACCAAATCGCACTGACCAGCGTGGTGAAGTATGGCAAATCGACAACTCGTGGCATAGGGAGGCCTTCATCCAGCAGTGGAATTGTTTCTGTGTTTTTTTTTATCAATCGAACTCCAGCTGATATTTGATGCAACCTTCTTTTTTCCCGTCATCTACATGCCCCCTTGAGCCCTTTTGGGCCCCAAGCTTTGCGCTTTGTTTGCGAATGTCCAGCGCCACCACCGGGGGGGGGGGGGGGGGGGCGGCTGTGGCTGACACCGTGTCAGAGCGATGAGCCCGGTGACATTTCGATTCCTGGTTTGAATCCGGGTTTCAGCCACCCGTGGTTACGCCGGGTCCCCGAGTGTTGGCAGTCGATAGCCTCTAAGCTGGGAATCTCCATGATCCTCGGACGGAGGTTTGGGGTTAGGGGGGGGTGGGCGAGATGGAGGGCGGCAGCTGTATCGATGGTTGGTCGTCGTCGTGACGCCACGCGCTCGCCCCGGGCCTCACACCTGTCTCTGTCGGGGTAAGGGGGGGCGGGCGGGCAGGCGGGCGTCTGTCGAAGTTGTGCCGTCAAAAATATCTCGTGACTTGGGCCGAAGGAGAGGAGCCGCTGGGCCGGCCTGAGCGAAGCGAGCAGGAGGGGGGGGGGGGGTGACGGGGTGGGGGGGAGGTCGGAGCGATCTGATGGCTCCGGAGAGGCTGCCGGTTATTTTAAGGCACGCGCAGATGATGGAGAATGATTTTGGGAAATAGGAATCATTCCCTGAGCACCGCCCGCCCCTGCCACCCTCCCCCAGAAAGGAACTGCACGAGCGTGGGGGGGGGGGGGAATTGAGACTCAAAATTGCTGCCCGACGGAGAGGCGTTTACGCAAAAAGGGGGGGCCAACCCGGGAAGTAACGTCAGAAAAAATGTAAAGGCGCAGCACTGAAATTGCCGTGCTCACGGAGGGCGTGCGCCCGTAACCCCACGACAGCTCTCACACGGGGAAGCGCTCCCCGAGGGGAGCGGTGGGGGTGGCGCTGGGGGGAGGAGGGGGGGGGAGCCGATTGTGGTTTGTGGTGCTGAGGGGTCTGGTTGACCCCCAGGCAGAGTCCGTTGACTGCAAGTAGTGGGCACGGGGGTGGGCAGGGTGAGGGGGGGCGAAATCGTCGCCCACCTCCCCGTCCCTTTCGTGGGACGCCTGAAGATCGGTATCTTGTTGATGTTTCTCGACGGAGAGCCCGATTTTAAACGGCTTGAACTGTCGGGACTCCTCCTCGCCCCTGGAATGGTTTCAGTGATGGACTATCCTAGTAGAAAAAGTAGCTACACGTGTAGTAGCTACGGGCCCCGCACTTTCGAGGGCCCCGTGCTAAACGCTTTCAAGCTATCAATTCCGGTTCAGTGATGCTGCACTTGCTCTATTACTGTAGTACTATACCGCCTTCAACTTTTATGAACGACTGGGTGTTTAAGGTTAGCGATTTGTCGTATTATACGGCTGTATAGCAAATTAAAAAACTACAATTCTTTACAAAATTCAATGCAAGTAAAACATTTGTGTTTTAATATTTATGTGTCTTTATTTATTTAGGGCCCCTTTATAACATATGCACTAGCTTAATCCGGCACTGGATGGTTCTAGATTCGCCTCTTGTTGATGGGGTTCCACCAGCATTTATGCTCATCGTGTACTGCTTTTTGTGTTCATAGTTGTCCATCCTCCGCACCTCCGATTAGCACGATTGGCTACGTACGGTGCGAAAAAAATTCAACATATACATCCCAAGGTGCTTATGCAGGGCTGATACCGGTGGAATCTTACGTGGACCACAATGCGAATGGTTGGCTACGTGTGGTGCGAAAGAGGTTCAATATACACACGGCGCAGACAAAGTGCATCGTACCAAGGACAAAATAAACCTGAACGAGAACTTGAATTTACGCAGCGCCATTCACACGAGGCCTCCTCACAGCACCTCATGTACAAATATCCCAAGCCTTAACAAGGCCTTAAATGAAACTGAATATATCTCTTTAACAGATAACACCCTTAACACCTAAAACCCGTGCATTCGTCATCCTGTAAATCTACTGCCTCCCCACGCCGTACGGGTCATGGACGTTGCATGGCCATACTTCAACAGACTGGTCAGTGACGGCTGGTGATGGACAATGCCAACGACAGTCATAGCAATGCACAGGCAGCAGGTGTGCACGTGTGAAAAGTCCATTGGCATCTCCTGAAGGAGTGCATTGTGGTCCCCTTTGTGAATGAGGGCCTCCCCATGCCGTTGGTGGCAGGTGATATCCGACATGTGTTTGGGCTTCCCTTTAAGGTCGACTCAGCCTTAAATAAATACTGTACCGAGATTAGTACCTGGCCCCAGGGAGACAATAGCGGCTTTAACAGGTGCTCCGCGAATAGAACTTGTCCCAATGGGGGGTCTTTGTCTTTGTATAGGGGAGCTGAGCTGAGGTGCAGCGATTCCCACTCTGTGATACACTGTACAAGTGTGTGTTAAGCCTCCCGTAGGTTGATTCGGCCTTAAATACCTGGTGAGGTGTGCGAAGCATCATCACTGGGCAGGCACGGCTACACCCGTGCGGTGTGTGTTCTATGCCGACGTTAACGGGTGCTCGCTAACAAACAGCAGTGGGCCACGCATTCCAGAGGAGTGCTAAATGGGGATCTTGAGTTTGGGGTGGTTGTATGGCTGTAGTTCACGCATCTGTCTGCGTTATTAATAAGAGACGGGATGGCTCATGTCTCCCTTGAATGCCTCCCACAACTCCCCCCCCCCCCCTCTCCGTTAAGTCAGAATGTGCGAAACGAAGAGGGGGAATGTGAGATGTTAACTACCTCGCCTGGTATACAGGAGGTCGTGGGTTCGATCCCGACCCTGACGCCTGCTGTATATTTGGAGTTTGCGTGTCTCTCTCCCCATGATCACGTGGATTTTACTAACAATTCCTTCAGTTTTCCCCTCCATGTTTAGAATCAACATCACGCGTTTAGAGTATTTGGCTGCTATAAACTTCCACGTGATAAGCCACTTCGTTGAACTATCATTTGTGGCCAGGTCGCTTCTGAAAAAGAGCTATTTCGCTCAGAGGGGGCTTACCTGGCAAAATAAAAAAAATGTTTAGGATATACTTTAATTAACTTTTCTCCAGTCAACCCTTATTATTAATCATAATAATGTCTGATTGTTATAGCGCCTTTCACCCGAAGGTGCTAATTGTGTCACGGTGCTTGCCTAGCATGAGCGCGTTTGTCCCTTGTTCCCGAGGTTCACAGTTCGGATCCAACGGCCGCCCTGATTAATACTGCGGGTGTATTAACCGTAAAACGTATTCATATTTAATTTGCCAGAGTAGGCCACTGCGTGCTAGCACCCTGGTCCAAATTTGAAAAATGTTACACCGTGACAAATTACTCAATTGGGATTATGCGTGGCAAACATCGGCTCTCTGCTACTAAAATTTGGCAGGACCCTCCTGAAAAAATAGAGTCGTGACACTCAGTGAGGCTTTGCTGGGTAGACAAGTGAAATAATAATGATAATAACAATTAAATAACAATATTTAAAATTTGGTATTCTACGCTCATTCACACCTTTTACGCACCCCAGGTTCAATTATTGATCTGCTCCCCAGATCATACATTTGTGGGAGGGATTGGTGGTCCAGTGGTTCGCACGCTGCACTGTGAATTGGGCGACATGAGTTTTATTTGATTCCTGGCCACGGTTAACATTTGCTGGGGAATGGTGTCTGAGATCTGTGGCATCGCACGCTCTCAGATGTGCTTCTGTGGCCGTCTGGAAAGCTCTTCCTTCCAATATTAGGAAGCCACTGAAGCTTTGCATTTTTACATCTAGATTGAAAACTCATTTCTTTAGAATTGCTTTTCGTGTTTAGTTTGTTGTCCTTCCCCCGCACCTCCGATTAGTGCAGGTGGCTACGCACGGCGTGAAAGATGTTCAATATACAAAGACAAAGTTACACATATACACACATACATGTCTGAACCAGACCTGGGCCCTCTCCCCGTGAGCCAAGCCGCACTGACCAGCGTGGTGAAGTACATTGTCGAGTGACCTCCACGTTCCTCATCCAGCAGTGGATTGACAAAAGGGGTTGTGCGAGACGTGCACATTTTATTTTTTGCTATCGGAGAGCAAGCGCCGTTAGGTTGAACCACACGCGGTCAGGGTCACTCGCGCAAAGCGTCACGGGTCCGCCCCAACACAACCGTGCATTTGTTTCACTCTCGCCTTAAAATAAATAAGAGATAGCTCCCAGCGTATAAATAGTCTCTCGCAACCGAGCACAGTGGCATGCGTGTCCTCTCAACATAGCCCGCAAACAAATTACACACACACCAACAATACATAAACACGAAGGGTCCCCCCGCATTTAGCCGGGCAAAAGAACGATGGGGCGAGCACTGTTAGCGAGCGCCTATTAAGGTCCACGTTCCACGCGAGGGGACGGCGTGAGGCCATCGGCACTAAGGCGAATTGGCCACCACGGTGGCGAGATGTTCACTACCTCGCCTGGTATACTGGAGGTCATGGGTTTGATCCGAAGCTGCTTGATGCCTTTCTATTTGGAGTTTGCGTGTCCTCCCCGTGGTGCGCGTGGATTTTTCTCTGGGTCCTCTTGTTTTTCCCTCCACATTTATAAAAATGCGTTTAAAGTATTTGGCTGCTATAAATGGTCACATGATGAGCCACTTGGTTGAGCTAGCATTTGTGGCCAGTTCGCTGCTGAAAAAGAGCTACATAGCTCAGTGGGCCGTACCTGGTAATTTATATATATAGTTTATAGTCTCACTGCCGGGGGTGTGCTGATACATC